TAGTTTGAATTGAAAATGATAAAACAGTGCTACATTGAAATATATTTTGAAAAATCAGTTGCATGAAAGTAAGATAAATTGTAAAAGAAATTATGATTTATAATAACTCTGATAAAGTTTTCATTGTATTTTTTCACAAGGTTCATACAATGCGAAATGCTTGAAAATTGACAAATACTTGAATGTTGAAACATCTTTTAATTAAAAGCTTGTTCAAATAAATTAAATTAAACACATTTTGAACAAAGTGCCAAAAATGTGGTCTTTTAAGTCTTCCAAAAATGTTAGGTGTTATGGTTATGCAATTTTCTAAAAGCAGTTCATGAGCATTCTCTTAGGATCTCCCTATTTTACATATTGTGCAAATTCATTTAAAGGCTTGTTAAAAACCACATTTTCTAGCTCTTTGACCTTCTTTTGAATCTGTAGATTAGATTCATGAATACCATGTTTCCCATTTGAAAATATGAAGAACATTGAATGGCATTTTTTGCAAAAAATTGAAATCACTTCAATCAAAAAAAATTAAATTCATCTTTGAAAGTGAGAGGTAATAGCCTGGCCTTTTTCAATACATATTATTTGTAAAGAATTAAATTTTTCTTAAAAAAATATAGGTTCATATCAGCCTACTCTTCTATCTGCAGCTGTATAATAGTAAAAATCGGCCTCCAATCTTCTGTAGATAATTTTAAAAAGTATCATTTTATGCCTTCAATCTTCTGTTTACACTGATTTATCAGCTCATCTATTTTAATATTATGTACTTCTAAAGTAGCAAAAGCATTTGTAGTTTATCATGTATTATTTTATTTCTGATGTTTTCAAGGTTATATTAAAAATTTTTCTTCAGTTTAGTGACAAAACTGTAAACTGGTTCAGGGAGGACTGTTCTGTATGCTCAGAATGAAAGCTTATTAAACTAAAATTAACTGCTAATAAAAAGAATACAGAAGTTTTTAGTCACCAAAGGCAAACTTCCTCTCAAGATCTACCATGCTTTAAGAATTTTTTTCTTTTGTTCTTTTAACCTCTTACTCGTTGTGCCCAACTCTCATATGGGCAGCCAATATGAACAATTTTTGTCATGCCTGTATCTCACACAGGCTCTACTTTTGCAAAAAAAAAAGTCAAGGGAATACCAATTTTTGTCGCACTCGTGTCAATTCTACTTACATAGATGTTATGCAGGTGGCAGCACAGTATTTGTAAGTTGATTGTATAATAGTAGTATGTAGATTCAGTTAAAGTGCTCATCAATTTTTCGTGTTTAATGTTTGTAAAATGAGTAGTTCAAGTGAACACGAGGATTTAAGTCTTGAAGAATTAGGAAGTGATTCATAAGGCAGCTTTTTGCAGATGCTTTTGATTCTTAAGTATCGGATTCTGAAGATAGTGACGATCCCGGGCAACTTTTACCAGTGCGCCAATGGAACCAAATTATGCCGAATATCCCAGATATTTGCTCTCTACGTTTTAAGTTCAAATTATTGCTAAAAGTTAATATTTCATTTCAAGCCAGTTCAGCCATTTTACAATATTATGAACATTTCATAAATGGTGAAATAGTGAGTATAATTGTAAAAGAGACTAATCATTATGCTGAGCAATCAGGTGATGTTGTTGGTAAAAGGAAACAGAAAGGTTGAAGAGAATGGAAGCCTGTATCGGCACATGAAATGCATTTGCTCTTTGCGCTTTCAGTTTTACAAGATATTATTTAAAAAAACCTGAAAAGCATGTATTGGGCTAAAAAAACATCAGTAGAAACTGCATCTGAATAAAGTATATCAAAAAGCGATTACTCGAGAGAAAGATATTATCATAGATTAAACACTGATGTTGTACAATGATTTTTATCCTGGTTCCAATACATACCTTTGAAACCTTGAAAACAGCAAAATTTGGTATCAAAACATACATGCTAAATGAATCTATTTCTGGTTATATATGGTTATTTATTATATATACTGGGAAAGATACTTTGTTTCATGGTAAATTCTAATTTCTCTCTGTACCTTCACAAAACTGAAATTATTATGACTCTGATGATGCCTTTATTGCAAGAATGCTACTGCGTCACCTTAGATAATTATTATACTTCACCAGAATAATGCGATATGCTTTTAACTTATCAAATAAATGTGGTTAGGAGTATTAGACAAAAAAAAAAAAAAAAAGATTTACCTTTTGCACTGAAAAAAAAAAAAAACTGACGAAGTTATATCATTTAGACGTGGCAAAATCCTCGCTCTCAAATGGAAGGACAAAAAGAAAGTAACAGTGTTATGATCTTTTCATGATTCTGAAACTGTTGAAGTAATGACCCAAAGTAAAAAACTGAAAACAAACCCAAATGTAGTAATTGACTACAGTAAAACAATGAGAGGTGTCACTCTTGTAGATGAATACCTTTCTAGTTATCAGGTAGCAAGAAATGGTGTGGGGGGAATATTATAAAAAATATTCTTTCACGTTTTAGACCAGTCTGGGTTCAACGCTTTTCAAGTTTATAAAAAAATAGGTGGAAAAAGTCACATTTTAAGTTTAGATTGGATTTAATCGATAAAATAATTGTTAAATATCAATAAAATGTTATCCATTTTTCAAGACGAGGTTGTCTGTCAAGTTAAGCACCAGCAGATTGTTTATAGAAACTACATTTTTTTTAACTTATGCTACCTACAGAAAAAAAAAAAGGAAAACCCTTCCAGAGAATGTATTCATCAAGGAAGAATGCAAATGGAAAATGAATTAGGAGAGAAATGAGGTATTATTGTAAAGACTGCAATGTATGACTGTGCATACCATGTTTCAAACTTTTACCATACCCAGGAAAATTATAAAATTTTTGAAAACATATTACAGCTATTATTGATGTTGAATAAAAGCATCATCATATGCAGGTAATAGTGCTCATTATTTAAATGTATGTGTTTTCTTTCCCCTCTCCCAAAACTTAGATGTAATCTTAAACACCTGCATTGAAGCTTTTTTGCCTAGCTTCAATGCTGTAGCCTAACTTTCTGCTGTAAAAGGGAAGCCAAATATTAAAGTAAAATAAAGTAACTTAATAAAACATTTTACATATTTAAAAAACATAAATTTAAAGGAAAATATAGTGTTTTTAATATGAATTTATTTTGAATTTTAAAAACATTAAAAAAAAAAAAAGAAGATTTTTGAATAAATTTTGTGATCAGTAAGGGGTTAATGACCTTTTTTGGTCAAAAAAAAATACTTTGCTAATGTTTAATTTAGTTAATGATTATCAAATTCTTTGTGTGTTATGTATATTATGTATATTTACTTAAAAACAAACTTCTGTCGCATTTTCTGTATATTTCTATTTTTGCAAGTTGTATATATTATTTTTTATAATTTGTTAATTACCTATCTACAGAATATGAGCAGATAAATTTTTCAACGTTGGACATTTCAAGACAAGCAAATTCATATATATTTTTTTCAGAAAAATCCGGTGGTTAGGTGACCTTTCTTGTTGGTAGAGAAGTTTGTGAGAAGGCTATGACAAATTTTAGCATTCTCAGTTACTTATAAAAGATTATACTTCACAAGTAAATCTCTGTAGTTGAGCTCATATCTCATGCCATTCTTACTCGCATTCTGCGTTTCCCCCTGCCAAAAAGAAAAAGGAAACAAACATCAAGTTTTTCATGAAATAACAAGCTATCTTCCAGACTTTAGTAAATGCAATATATAGAGAGAGATAGAGAGAAAGAGATAGAGATACATATATATGTATCAGTAAAAAATCTTACATTTGCATTAGAATGGGAATACAACATATTTAACTTAAAGCAATATTGATAATACAGATTCAAAAGAGAGAATTGGTTTATAAATTCCCATTATAAATAATAGTGAAGTAAACCAAATTATTTTGATTTATCCAGAAAATTTTAAAATTATATTTAAAGGGCATTTGAAGAAATTTCAGATTAAAAAAAGTGACATGATGGTTTTATAGCTCCATTTAAATAAAAACTAAAGATGCTAAGATTACTAAGATTAAAATCTTACAGTAGATCCTGGGTCAGAATATTGATAGAAATTCAGTGTCAGAAAAGGCAATCATACAATACCTACATGTCAACTGATATCCCGAAAATCTGATTCCATTGCAGTAAAAAACATTGACTGTTAAAATTGTCCTTCTCTTTCAACAATGATATCCCATTCATTGGAGGTAAAATGAAGTAACAGGAGAGTTAAGCAGATTCATCAGTAGTTATTATAGAGAAGCATGACAGAGCGGATGTGTATACGAGTCAGTTTCCTTTAGAAAGTCCTCCACGAAGGCATCCCTCCCCTTAGGCAGATAGCCTTAGTGTGCTTTGCCATAATTAAATACACACCAACACCATGACAGAGCGAAACAAATGATTTCAAGTTTTCAGTTCTCTCAGAAGAGTAAGTCAGAGAATGGCCATGGACTGGTTGAAAGATCTCACCAAGGTCAATAAATTTAGAAGTGTTTTCTACTATGCCGAACAGAGTAGTATAATTTTTTGTTTTGTAAAATGCTGCATTTCAAAACATTGGTACCCAGAACCTTCATAGAATAGTTCACAAAATACTTCATAAACCATCATAGTTCAATAAAATACTGGTTTTATAGATTACATATCATCTCAGGAAATGGAAATTCTTTTTCAGTCTTTATCCTAACATTCCTTATTTTTCAAATTAGTATTGTTTTACAGTAAAGAATTAGTTTTATTCAAATACAGTGTTTATATTTAAGAATGGTTTGCATGCTAATATTTAATTACTAATGTTGCAGCTGAAATGGTTCGGACCACAAATCGAATTAAATGGATAGGAAGCAAGATATGTTATATAATTATTGCATGTATAATAAATGTGTAACTGTAAAATTTGAATATGTTGTAATTGTTATTTGTGTTATTCTGTAAACAATGGGGAATTTTTTAAAAGCACTAACTATAGAAGATGACTGTTGTATGTAATTTTAGGTTATCGGTCTGTGGCACTGAAAAATGAGTATAGTGAAGAATTGGAACTCGCTTGTTTACTTGTACATATTAATATTCAGTATCATCATGCAGTAAGTATTAACAGACATTTGTCTTCTCAATTTTTAAGATGTCATCAGTTTCCTAAATTTTGAAATTTGATAAACAGTTATTAAATAACTAATGGCTCTAATAAAAAAATTATCAATTTTTCAATCTCACCGAGTTTTAAGTTACTGCTTTTGCAGTGAAGTAGAATGTTAAAAAGGTGAACAAAATATGTGACTGTTCTGTGTACACATATAGAAAGGATTGAATAATTGTAAGAAAAAAAGAGAGAGAGAATAGGACCTGTATTTTCCAATTTAGGTTGTTTATTGACATAATTTGAATTGTATTTTCCATGCCCTGTTAGGATAACTAAGCCATTTGTTATATAGCACTGAACTGATAGACATTTCTTGCGAAAAAAACTGAGCTTTTTCGAAATAGCATGCTGATCTTTTGTAGCAATATTTAGTTATGTATAAATATGAAATTTCATAAAACAATTTTATTTACAGCAACTCTTAGCTACTGCTCATCACAGCTTTATACACATTGTACATGTAGTGTACATATGCATACACATGTATGTGTCTATACAGTGTGTCCACTAAAGTCCTTACTTGGCCTTTATTTTTGCAAAGTTGGTCATAGATATACTCTTTCAGTTAGAGAAATGTTTTAATTGATATAAAGATTCGTGTTTGGACATTTTTTAAGTTAAAGACATCAGTTTTGCAAATATTACAATATCTAGCTTTTTATATGCAGTGGCATAACTAGAACTCTTGGGCAACATAATAAATTTACAGTACTGCCCAAAAAATCCATGTTTCCAGGGGCCAAAATTTTGAGGATGATTTTTATCAGATCTTGATTACTAATTAAAAAATCTGATATGGACACCACGACTTCCTTGTAAACAGCCTATTAAATTATATACATTTTTTGCTGTCCTTTATCTAAACATAGTTCCTCATATGATTCTAATTTAATTAACCAATTTCTGACGCAACTGCAAAGGCATTGCTCATTTTTTCCCTTAAAATGAGGGTAAGAGTATGGATATATATATAATGAGAGAGAGTCAGATAAATACTGATATTTGCAATAAAAAAGTGAAGTGCACAGCTAAATATTATAGCAGTCCCATGTACAAAATTTCAATGTTCTATGGCTGATTGTCTTTTATGTGAGTTATGCGAGATGTGTATCTCTATATATGTAATGATAGCACAATTTTCGAAGCACTGATGTAAGAACACTGAGGCGTAGAAGCATAGCAATGTTGTTTAGCATAGATACTTGATCCACATTAAAGAGGAACAAATAGAGCCGGATTAACTTCCTTTTTTATTTCAAGTCACATTTGTGGCCGCAATTCACTTGGCACTCTAATCGTGCCTATTTCCAGAGCATATACATTTTTGATACTATGGCGATAGAAGTGAGCATAGATGATTGCAGCAGCTTCTTGTCAGGATAAAAGCATAAGCAAAAAGTGATGCAGGGATTCAGAGAAAGTGGGGAGGGAGTCAAAAGTTTCAGTTCTAGTTAAAAAAAAGTTTTACTTTACAGTTATTTTATTGGGCAAGAGGTATCTGCGTTATGTAGGATCGTATGATTAATTTGAGTGATGCAGTTTAGACTTATGGTGCTATTTTTAAGGTAGAGAGATGAAATCCTCAAATTAAATAAAAAAATTAAAAGAGGTTATAGTCAATTAAAATTAGAAGTTTGTTTTCATACTTTTTATCTTACGTAGATATATATATCCATCTCTCTGTTTCTCAATAGTAGATAGATATCGATAGTTATGTATGTATATGCAAATGTACACATGTCACGAAAAAAGTCCATTTCAAACCCATTTTATAATCCTTTTTAGAAGGAAGAGCCCTTTATTCTGTCCATACATATAGAAGTCAAAAAAAAAAAAAAAAGTCCAAATGGATTTGGGAACATTCAAAATGAATATTTCCGTTGAAATATAATACCCGACATTTTGATGTGTGTAACACTGAATTTAAGTTTTATGAGGGCATCTTGACCATAGTATTTATAAAATAATCCATCTTCTTTTAGGTTTAACCATGTGAATGTAGTTCAGCAGGACATTCAAGGGCCCCTATGCACTAGCATTTCTTGCATACTCTTATTTATGCCACTTTTTATACATTCTACCAGTCCCTGTGCATCTATCCAGGAAAATGTTTTATTGGCTATCGGGGGGGGGGAGTTTAACTCTCAGGCTGCCAAGATTTATCATGATATTAAACTCCAAAATCAGCAATTTTTGAAATCACAATCAGTTTGCATTGAGGGGCCAGTTAGTAAATAGAATAAATCGAAGCTGATTCCCTCCCTCCTTAAATGCCATGATACTGTTTTGTGATTTACTGTTATCTTTATTGCATAATTTTGTTACATTGGGCACATGGAAAGAATTTCTGTACAAGTAATTTATAATGTTCATATTCTAAAAATATACTATTTGTATTGTTTTGAAGTTTTATTACTTTAGAATCATAATCTGGTAATTGTAAAATATTCATTAAAGTAGAAATGTTCTGTGAAGCAGAATGTGTCAAGGATACAAATTCTCCTTCGAAGCTCAAGTTGTAAACTGAGAACAAAAGTAAAGTTCTCTGCAAGTGAAAATTTTCATCCCTCTTATTTATTACTGTTGCAGAATATTTCTAAAATAATTAACCAATGTCAGGAAAAGAATAATTTTTCTTACCTTGCCTTCTTGATAGTGGCAAGCATCATCACAGTTATCCGAAAAGATGTATATGAAATTACAAACAAAATACATTTATTTAATGCATTAACAGATGTTCAATATAAAATAAGATTAAATAGATTTTTCACAATATATATATTAACAGAGCATTCAATAATAAGCTTATCATGAGAGAGTTTTAACACTGTCCTTACATATCCACATGAAGGAGTGAGAAGAAAGGAAAGAAAAGGCAAGTCACTCAGTTACTCTTCTATAGATCCCAGATTAGATTGTGTATCGCGATTGGCAGCTGTTCTTCAATGCGTACCAACACCCCGACTTGATGGACAGGATGACCATATGTAGTGACTCTCGAAGTTTCTTGAACATAGGCTTTCTTAGCGGTTTGCTTAGCAGGTCTGCGATCACGTCGCAGTTTCTGCATTAGTCTAGGCTTTGTAGGCCATTTGTTGGAGTTCGCGCAGATAGTCGTATTTGACATCTATATGTTTTTTCTTTAACTATTTTTCTTTGATTGTGAAAGTTTGATGCATGACTTATTATCTTAATCGAGATTAATCGTTAGATTCTCTTTAGATGCAGTTGTTTCCTAGTTTGAATATATATTTGCAAATGGATTTTCTAGTTGTACTGTCATTTCCCAAACTGCATCTGAATATGCAGTTAGTATAGGTTCTTGAATTTTCTTAAAGATCAGCTTCAAGTTTTTAGTTAAGTATCAAATGACTTTCTTGACAGAATTTCAAACTACCTTCTGAGGTTTTTCATTTCTTCTACTCAGTAGATTGATGGTGCATGCTATATCGGGTCAACTGATTGTTGCAGTGTATGGTAATGCCCCTAATGCTTGCCTATATTCTGAATTGTCTTCTAGAAGATAATCTTCATTTTATAGTTTGCAGTAGTTTGTTTCTATTGGGTATATGTTGGTTTTCCATCTTGAAGTCCAAATTTTTTAACTATTTCTTCGATTTTATTCTTTTGATTTATGGCAAAGGTGCCATCTTTACATCTTTCAATGTTTATGCTGAGGTAATAGGTGACTTCTTCTAGGTCATTGATTTCCAGTTAATCTTTTATTTGTTGGATTGTTTTCATTGTGTCTTCTTTGGTTTCACTTCCAATAAGTATATCATCTACATATGTTATATATGTGAATTTTCATAGTTGTTTTTTAAAAATAAGCAGGGGTTTTCTTTACTTTGTTTAAATCATATGTTTAGAAATATTTTTCCAATTTTCAGATTCCAAGCTCTAGCATTAGGCCCACCAGTGGCCAAGCGGTAACGTCGCTGAACGCTGGTAGTTCGGTCCGAGGTTTGAATCCCGCGAACGGACTGGTTGCATGGGTGTTTTCGTGGTTTTTCCCCGTGTGTAACGTGTATACGAACCAGCTCCCCTTAAAAAGTCCTCCACAAAGGCATCCCTCCCTTAAGGCAGATACAGGGTTCGTACGGTCCTTAAGAGTCCTTAAATTTTTTTAAATCGATTTTTGGTCCTTAAAAGTCCTTAATTTTGGTCAAAATCAGCAGAAGGTCCTTAATTTTAATCATCTGAAATTTCTGTCTGTTTTTATGACTGCCATTTTGAGTCTGAATTAGCATTTTGGAGGAATATTTTTGGTGATTCACTGACACATATGGTTATCTTTTGAATGGGTTATAATTTGTTTCTATTTCTAATATAAATGATGGGATACTCGAGTTTCTAAGCAAGAAGTGAAACATAAGCATCTAAATTTGGCGACTTGTCAACATTTTGGCGATTTTAAGATCAGTTTCTATAGATTTATATCTATTATCTGGTACAAAACCGCTCTTAGCAAAAGCAAAATTAGTTATGTAATTAATTAAAAATGTCTTGTTTTTAATTTTTTCATAGTAAGAGTTTTTCCAATGCAATTGTCTCACATTATTCAAAATTCTCAGAATGGCCATCAGTTTTGTCTATAAAATTAATTTTATACTTTTCCCTACTTTTTTTTTTTTTTTTTCCCCAAAATTATTTCTGTCTTTTTGCTGTTACAGAATTGGTAGGGATAATTTTTCTCTAGTATTTTAGACATTGCAGCTTGGAAAGTTTAGAAGGATTTGAAAGCAAGATTTATAGACCCACGATTCTAGAAGATTCGAGAAATATGTGACAAAATGAAAAATGTCTCCATGGTATCAACATGTAATGGATGTATTTTACAGAAAGTTGCGATGAATTTCTTACCTTTTGGAGAACGTCTGGAAGAATAATGAAAACATAATATTTGAATGTTTTACTTCTGATACTAGAATCTTTTTCCTAACA